TATATGTATATATATATAATGAGAAGAAGAGCATCCTCTACTGCTATCATTGTTGTTACTACGACTAAAGAATACCAAAAGCCATAATAACCACTTTATGAGCACCTTATTTACTGTGTTGGACATTTAAACTTCTGCAACAAGCGGAAATTGTGTCCACAGCCCATAAGTTCGACTTTCGGTTCCAAATTAATCTACTCAGATTACGTGTCAAATTAAGTCAGACATTGTCAAAGCATGTATCGCAGTTATCTTAAGCTTCGCCTATTTCCCTGCAGTTGCTGAACTGCTTAGTAGAGAATAGTTCAGCTTTTAGGCCGGTAGATTGATCTTTTCTCCAGGATATTATACTTAAAAAGCAACATTGTCTGTAGAAGATGTCAAGATCATATAGTTCATGGCTAGAAATGGATATTTACCTGTATATTTTTACAAATTGCTGTTGGTGACCAGCTTGAACCATCTGTTGGGCTAAATCATGCAGTAAAGGCAGGATCCTTGGAGGTATAAGAGTTGGCGGTGTGAAGACAGCATTTTCTGCACCATTTTGCTCAGCAATGCTATTGGACAGACGGTTCTTACCACTAGACTCCTGGTGTCCAGGTGATCCAGACGATGGTCGCATTGAATTTGGGAGACACTCAAACAGCCGATCAGGTTCAACAGGTTTACTGAAAATGTAGAATTCAGATTTAATCAAAAAGCTCAATTGGAAGGTCAAATAGTAGTATTTGGGTGCATTTCTACTTCAATTTTGAAGCCTCGTTGGAGTATTGAAGATTAAGAACATAGGCAAGACATAGGATTTTAGAACTTGTAGCAACAACTTACAAGGATATTCCTCACAAGATGCCCCAAGAATCCCAAACCCGAAAATGGTACTAGGGGATAATCTCAACCTAAATAAAGGTTAACTTAAAGAGCACTGAAACAACCATTTTAACTTCCTTAAATACTTCACTAATCATTATATGGCAAATAGGAGAAAACTACAACTCCTATTAATATCGATACTTGAATTTCGAATCAATCATAAGTCTACAAATAGGTTTTCATGGAATTCCTCCTGGGAAAGAATTTACACGCAAAGTATCTAGGAAACAGGATCAGAATAAAGTGTAAAACAAGGTTTCAAGAATAAGTCTACAAATAGAATATGTTGTAAGCAGTAAAAATGTTAGCAAACCTATAAGATAACAAGAGCTGCTTAAACTCCTCTTCGAGCTTTGAGATAGCCTTGGCTAGCAAACTATTAGCATGATTGAGCACTCCATCACTACTCTTGAAGCTCTTGTTGTTGCTGAAGAAGCGAATATTGTTTCTCAGCTGTTCAATTGCTTGAAGATAACTTTCTAGGTCCTCATGTGGCCCTTTAAGTATTTTAACTTCAGCCTAAAATAAAGCTACCATTAATTAAGAAGTTCTAAATTAAAAATGTGCATTTAAGAAAGACCAACTTATCTGAAAAAAATTATCACAAAGATATAAAGGATTCTTCGCACCTGATAAGGCACAAAGGGACAACATTTTTAAAGTGGATTTTCTTTCACTTTCTCGATTTTTGGCTCCCAGAGAAGAGTGGTTTAACCAATACATCTAAAGCAGAATATTCTTTCTAAAATCATATTCCAGCTACACTCAACTTTTTACAGGGCAAATGTAGCAGGCTAGCAGCAAACAATTATTCTTTTCATATTCTACAGGGGCTTTTTGCCGGCAGTCTTTGGGTTCAACTTTTACAATCCTGAAGATTTGGGTATTGGAGAAATCATTCTTTTGCCCTTCTCTTTTGATCTTGTTACAAAATGGGAGAGCCCAAAATGATAGAAGCTGGAATGAAACACATTTTTTACATCATGAAACAAGAAGAAAGAACTGAAAAATTATATGATAAGAGAATATCATTTTTCAGTTCCCGTAGCTAATTGGATTCAAGAAAAAGCTACATTTGCTCCGTTGCGAAGCACCCTCACCCTCAGATGAGGAGCAGAGAGCCAACTTCAAACAAGAACGCCATGTTCTTAGACTCTGTGAGCTTGGGGTTAGGATTTGTTTCTCCTTTATTATTCTCCAGGTCCAGGGTGGAGGATAGAGGTTCATCATTTAAAAAATGGCGATCCTTTAAAGTATGCATGAGTTAGAAGATTTTTGTCCTAACAGTTTCAGCTTGATAGAACAAGTAGCGATGAGTTGGTGAATGAAGAGGTGAATGTGTGAGGTTGGAGTTTGAAGGAGAGGTCATGACTGGATGGTTTAGGGAGAGCTTTACGATCATGCTTCAAGTTTGAGCCTAAACTCTAATACCACAAGAAATTCAAGAAAGGAAATGGATAGTGAAAAATAAGCTTTTCTTTTCTGTCCTATGTTCATGTATAAGGGGTATACTTATACACTACACAAATGTTATCCCAATCACACTTCTAGGAAGATTATGCTCATCTATAATCTATATCTATTTGTATACATCTGAAAGACTGAAACTTATCACATATATATTGAGGGATAGTTTCAGTTCATCTTAAACACTAAGGTCCCATTTGTTTGAACTTAATGAAGGTCTGAATCTTAATCATTCGGATCTCAGTCATTAAGCGTGTTTGTTTTTTAGGTTAGAATCTTGATCATCGAGATCTCAATCATTAAATGCATTTGATTTTTTTTCTTTTCTTTTACAACCACTTAATGGTTCTGCCACATATTTGAATACTAAGAAATATACTAAGTTCTAATATTTTTAAAATGTTATTTATTCCAGGATTTCTGATAGAAAGTATTTCGCCACAACTCCATCCACTTTCACCGCTGCCCAACTACCACCACCAACGCCGATCACCACACTCAGCTGTTACCACCGTCAATCACCACATTCGTTGTCACCACTACTAACCACCATTTACATTATCACCACCAACCACCATTACCACGACCACCACAAATCACCACATTCAGTTGTCACCACTACTAACCACCATTTACAATATCACCACCAACCACCATTACCACGACCACTGGAAATCACCAGCATGAGCCAGCGTCATTTATCGCCAACCACCACTATCAGCTGCCACCACCATTATCTATCACAATCATCTACCAAAATCATCAACTGCCACCTTTAACTACCATTGTTACCATTGGCTACTACCGACAACCACCACCATCAGCCACCACCACTACCAATAACTGACCGCTAGCCAGCACCCACAACCACCACCATTAGCCATCACCACTGCCAATAACCACCGCCAGCCAGCACCCACAACCATCACCACCACCCACCACCATAATCATGTTCAGTTAGTTAACAAGAGCAATGTCTATCAGATCTAAGCAAACCAAACGATAAAACAAACAATAGAGGCCAAAGCAAAATCAAACCTGACGAGAAATATCAAATTGGGACAATATAACCTCAGCAGCCTTTAAAGTCTTATCAATATTTCCATGAGCCTTCCTAATAGCATGAGTCCTTATCTGCAAACAATAGACAGGAAAACTGATCAAAAATGTAATTGCAAATATTAGCAAGTACTGATCAAAATTAAATCAGGAAAAAGGAAAATTGCAGACCTGAGTGGGACGCATAGCAGTGTCAAGAGCAGAAAGACGGTGATCAAAGGAACCCAAGATGTTGACCACATTGTCGGTAATGGACTGACTCTTCTCCACTGCATCTCTCATCATTTTTGCTCTTTCACTTAGCATATCTACACCTCCTCCAGTGTTTCTTGGTATACCCATCTTCTTCGGTTCTTCTGTGGGTGTGGGGTGTGTGTTCTAAGGAAAGGTAATTGGGAAGAAATGAAAGCAATAATGAAAAATGGAGGAAAATTTTGGGTGGGTGGTGTGGG